CTGACACGGGCTCACCTGACCACCCTGCCACCTGGGTCCATCTGTTCATATTCTCGTGGGCCTGCAGGAATCTGGGCACCCACATGGATGTCTGTCTCTTCCTCGATGGCGGGCAGCACGATCCCTATCTCTTGTGCCAGCACCAACAACTTTTCCATCGTCAGAGAGTCTATTGTTGCTTGATCCATGCGCGGGTACGCCGCCTGCCCAAGCACTATCAGTGCGCTGCGGTAAGTGGGGGGCGTCTCGGCCTACCCTCGCCTCCGTTGCAGGAACTTCCTCCGCGCGTTGGAAGGAGAATCCGTACGCCTGTCGAAGAATGGCCCAAAATGCTGCAAGAGCATCGTCATCGAGGGCCGTCGGCAAGGGCCACAGAGCCTCCTTTTCCATCCACGCGATGGAAGAGAAAGCCGCCTTGAGCTGACGGATGAAGGCGGCCCAATCGCCTCCCGCTGCCATGAACTCCCTTATGGGAGGCAGCCTTCTCGGTCGGCCCGTTGCTCCTGCGTGCGCCGTCGGGAGTGCAGTCAACGCCGCAGCCAACTGGGTCAGTGGCGAAATGGCGGCTGTCGATCGCACCCCCTCCCCCACGGGAGAAATGGCGGCCATCGATCGCACGGGCTCCGCCGCGTAGAAGGTGGCGGCCAGAGATCGTACAGGCTCCGCCGCGTGGAAGGTGGCTGACGACGACCGTGCGGCTGCTGGCCTGCAGCCCCTTCCTCCTCCGGAGGCGGAGGAGGAAGGGGCTGCAAGGGGGGGATCAGCTCAGCAGTCGTTTATAACTCTTGGGCTATGCCCATTTCTACCCTTTAGAAGCAGCCTGCATCAGCAGCTTGTCTCCTACCTTATATAACCTCTTGTTGCAGTAGCTCTTTCTCCTTCGTCAGCAGTTCCCCTGCTGTGTTGATATCACTTGATGACGGTTGCTTGTGTTGCAATCGAAACGTCGTGATCTATTATTTTCTACCTACGTGACTTTACCGAAAGAACCAAAGAGTATGTAGAGATTTCTTTATTTATTATTTAGGACGCTCCACTCAGGTAACTTGACTTGGACAGGGATAACGCACAGATCGCTTGGGCCAAGGATAACGCACGATAACTTGGGCTAGGGATGGCAAGCAAGTAGGGATGACGTGAAAACAACGACGATGTTAAGAAAGCAACGGCCCGAAGACAGCGATGGTGTGAAGACAGTCGACCCCAATCCCACAGCGGCCCTGTAACTCGCCTCTCACCCTTTTTATTGCCGGCGTGGCCCTCACTCTGCCCCCGGTCACTCCCTCTTTCTTAAATTACCTCGGACTTTCCCGAACTTGCCAGATAGTTCCCTTCTGTAGTTACCCGTCACCACTCCGCCACACACTGTCCCTGCACCCGCACTGTTTCTACACTAGTACAGCACACCGGTGTGTTAGAGAGCCAAGCCACAACATTTACAATCTGATTACGACGTTTCGCCAGTAATTACAACTAGCTTCATCAGGCGATAGCCAGATTTGTGGAGAAGTTGGTCGGGTACTTCGCATAATGCACATGCATAATGTCCATTGTTTACCATATGAAAAAACTAACGGCAATGGATACCTACAGTCATTTATATGCATTCACTAGCTTTACTATCCAGCTTCGCCCGGGACTTGGATTCTTGTCCAGGATTAATTTCATATTCCCTTATATTTCACTGAAAAACAGTGAAAAAAATTGATGCTTGCAAGAAAGAAAAAAGCCGAAACAAATCAATTTTACTAAATCGGATGTTTTTCACTCAAGGGAATTCAACCTTAACCAGGCAACTCGGGAAGGGAATGACGTGTGCAAATTTCATGACGTCAGAGGTCAGCGTTCAAGAGTTTTTGCCGCTTCACACAAACATGTATTTTGTGCTTCATATTTAAGTGCGAGCTGAAAATAGTCGCATTGACTTAGAAAATCGAGACAGCATTTGTGCGGGATACACGGCCTACGCGGAGGGTTAGGGTGGGGGGGATGCGTGACCTCAGCAGGCACACTGCGTAACGCTACCGCATGCGATGACATCACAGATGTGACGTCACCGATCACTTGCCCATTATTGCGCCCCCCCCCCAAAATACAAAAGTCTATTTTTATACGTTTTGTATTGTGTACAGTCTGGAAGCTACCCACATGCCAAATTTCAAGTTTGTTGCATGTTGGGAAGTATGCTAAACATTTTGAACAGACACACAGTCACAAATTTCCCTTTTATTATATATTTATCCCGCCCCCGACTTCATGCAACAAGAGCGCACAAGTGTTGTCATCACATCTACGCCTCGAAACAAGTGGACGTCTCAAATCTGGCTGTCGTCTGATGAAGCTAGTTATAATTACTGGTGAAACGTCGTACTCAGATTTCTAAATATTGTGGCTTGGCTCTCCAACACACCGGTGTGCTGTACTAGTAACGAATTGGCATGTTCTGTTTACGTGACAAACCTTACTAAATTTCGATTTAAAGCTTTCGTGACTGCAAGGATTAATCTTCTTTGGTTCTTTCGGTAAAGTCACGTAGAATGAGAATAAAATAATAAATTGATAAAATAAAATAACACAATAATATTCTCACGACGTTTCGGCCACAACACAAGCGGCCTTCATCAGGTGAAGGGGACGAGACTGTCAGGAGGACAGCGTATCAATTTATTATTTTATTCTCATTCTACGTGACTTTACCGAAAGAACCAAAGAAGATGAAACCTTACTAATTGAATTTCGATTTAAAGCTTTCGTGACTGCAATGATTCATCTTCTTTGGTTCTTTCGGTAAAGTCACGTAGAATGATAATAAAATAATAAATTGATAAAATAAAATAACACAATAATATTCTCACGACGTTTCGGCCACAACACAAGCGGCCCCCATCAGGTGAAGGGACGAGACCGTCTGGAGGACAGCGCCGGAGCGAAAAAGCCACGCTCAGATCACGACCTTTAAGGTCGTGATCTGAGCGACCTTTAAGGTCGTGATCTGAGCTGAGATCGCGACGCTCAGATCACGACCTTTAAGATCGTGATCTGAGCGCGGCCCCTCCACTCCAGCGCTGTCCTCCAGACAGCCCCGCTCCCCCACCCGACGAAGGCCGCCCGTGTTGCGGCCGAAACGTCGTGAGAACACCATTGCTATTTTATTTTATCAATTTATCATTCCACCCTCAATCCAGGTGACTTCACCGAAAGAACCAAAGAAGATGAATCCCCGCAGTCACGAAAGCCTTGAATCGAAATGTAGACCAACTCCTCCACCGAACTGAGCGCCAAGCTGTTCCGGAGCTCGCTGTGCATGAAGCCGAGGAACGTCGCCATCGTGAACAGCTTGACGCCGATCTTCTGAAGATCGGGCCAGGCCACGCCATCAGACTGCCAATACCACAAAGGTGTCTTACGTCCCTTGAGCAGGGTTTAATGACACATTTATATATTTACGCGATCTAACCCAAAAAAACTGTATTATGGATGTTTAGTTTAAGCTTCATTGCTTACACCACAGATCGGGTGTTGAAGCTGAGGCCGCTGCCCGTCTCTTTTTTTTTCTCCTAGCATCCCATTTAGAAGTCGTCAGCGCAGACTCCTCTTTAGAAACAATTGAGTTGGTGTGCCAAGCCCCTCTCGCTCCCTGAGCTTCCATTATCTTAGTGGCGAGTGCCAACTCTCACAATTACTGGCCCACTACATCTCCATGAGACAGAACAAGGCACGCGTGGTTTGTTTATAGGATATATATGCAGGTAAAAAAAAACATCCAAACCATTAAGAAAAGTGAACGGGCTTGAAAGGCAGACGGACGATAGCAAACAATGGCCTTCTGGGTCACACTGAGATGGTGCTACATAGTGCAAAAAAGTGGTTTATCATGTGGAAATTTATAACAGCCAAATATTCTAAACGCATGTTATTGATTCTAAATGTGGAGGGGGAAACTGGAGGACCCGGAGAAAATCCACGCGACCACGGGGAGAACAGGCGTCAGGGTCGGGATCGAATTCACGACCTCGTAGACCTAGCGAGGTAGTTAACATCTCGCCATTAAAACACAACAGAATACACACTCTTGACTTAAAGATTTCGTGACTGCAGGAATTCATATTCTTTGGGTCTTTCGGTAAAGTCACATCGATAGGTTCAAATTAATAAAAAATAAAATAAAACTACGACGTTTCGATCACAACACAAGCGATCGATCGTTCGTTTTTGGCTTGGAGATCCACGGCAAATTAATTTTTGGATTTACCGTGATTATTTATTATCCACGGTCGTGTACTACAACAAAACGTTTTTGAAAACACCAAAATAAAGCTATAAAAGCAATGTAACAGTGACAAAGCAAGGATTGTCACTCAAGGATTGGCCTACTAAGTCATTCTAGGCGCTGCAAAACCTACAGCTGACCTCGTGAGGCGCAAAAGAATTCTCTCGAGACAGGCCTACGACGCTGATGATTGATGCATGCTGACCTTCTTTTGCGCCGTACAGCAGGGATCGATCTTTTCATCAGACACGTTCAAAACGACACCACGGCCTTCAAAGGAAATATTTAACAGGCGACGTTCATGTATGGACCATGAATAAGATTCATCGTCCGAAACATCGACTATTCTATACTTTATTCTCAGGTTCGAGTGGTGGTGCTGTACTTGTGCACCACCAATACCGCAGCTGCAGATTTTTTTATTGTTAATCCGGTAATTTAACTACATAATTACATGGGAAATTGATTATCTTAACAGATCCATATAACAGGCGCTACAATCCATTCATCCCAATCTATTTCAACAGCTTCACCATACTGATTTTCAATTTTGATCGATTACAATGGTAAGAGTCTATTCCAATTGCAAGAAATAACACGCATCGATTACTCCACGACGACAGATTCCAAGTGAGTTGCATTGTGGAATCGATTCAGCGATCTGAATCGATTGCACTAAAGGTACCGTATTAGCCATGTATCGATTCACATCGCTTAACATGGCGATACGATTCGTTCTATAAATGGAATCGATTCCAATCCTTTTCATCAAACACCAGGGTCCCGTAGCGGCGATGGTGAATATTCATGACTATTCGATGACGAATCGAATTAATCGATTACATTTTTAAGATTCTTGTTTAACAATAAAGAAAGCGAAATGGCGCTTGGAGGTGACGATCTGGGTGAGCTTATATGAGCAATAGCAGCATCGATGAACAACACTGACGAACAACTTAACCATCGATGAGCGAAGTTTTGTTAAAAGTTATTTTTGAAGCGGTAAAAGTTCATAAACGGTGGCCTGTGTCTATGTTTTAAGTTGTGTAAGCATCGACTCGCGGTCCCTGCACGTAAACTCGGATACAGACGCCACAGAGATGAAGTAAATTTAGACGGAGCAATGCACAAGTTGTGACCGCTTCTACAATTAAATAACATAGCTCGGATAAAGACTCCGCTGTTGAAGACAGGAATTGTAACTTTGACGTTAGAGACATACTCGGAGATATACATAGAGACAGAGACATACATTGGGACATGCGTAATAGAGACGCATATATACGCATTGTTATACACATCTAAGCAGCTATATAAATAATGATATAGACATACATGTCGCATATCTTCATGTATCTGTCTTTGTATCTGTTGCTGTCGGTGTGTATTTTGTTGTCTGTGTGTGAGTGTGTCTATTCGTGTCTGTGTCTGGACCGGTTCTGGGCCTCCGCTGGGTCGACTGGGGCTTGAATGGGTTCCTGGTACGGTGTGTGAACATCGCGACTGGGGAGACAAAGGCCTTCATGAGTGCTCGCTAATATAACTTGCCCCCAACAGTCTGTTAAGGCTATACGGGGGGGGGGGTCTTTGTTTGAGTGTGAAAGTGGGGAGCGGTAGTGTAGCGGTTAGCGCGCTGCGTTGCGAATCTGCGACCCGATTTTGATTCCCGCTCACGACCAACACCAGTGACTTGTCCTCAAGTGAGAACCTGGCGCGGTGTGCAGTAAACATCGCCACTAGGGATTCAAAGGCGGCCGGGCGTGGTTCTGGCCACCCACCCCCTTTTATGCCGTCTCGGCCTTAATAGGTGCTCGCTAACAGAACTTGCCCCAACAAAGTCTCTTTACGCTATACGTGGGATCTTTGTCAACTTGTCTGTCTCTGCCCGTCTGAGCGGGGAATCGCAATCGATCTCGTGAAGCTGATCAAATATGAACGAGACTTGTGTACTGTATGTCCAGTATGTTGAACTTCTTTCGCACCGTACGTAGCCAACCGTGCCCGCTATTAGGGGCTTAGCCCAGAGGAAAAAAAATCTGCAACATTTGTAAGACGTATTTTTTTACAGAAATAATTTAATATTTTACAAGGGTGTTTTTTTTACAAATAGTATTCTTTTGAGGTGAAAATAAACTTTAATTTTGGTGGCTAAAAATAATGGTTTTATTGGCGTGTGTGACCACCGGCGAGATCAATTGGACCTTGGTCCGCCAGTAAAACAAAAGCGACCGCGCCTCAACACCGCGGGGCCGGCGCGGGGGAGCCGCCCTGGGGCCTTGGAAGCCCGCGACGCGGTGCCGCCTCCGATCGGCTAGGAAATTAAGATTGTCGCTTGTCCACTTTGAAATGTGTAATTGTTGGTGGATTTTAGAGCCAGACTAAGGCTCCCATGTGGTTCAGTGTCAAACCATTGAGGCTCGCAGAGCTAGACTAAAGATCCCCATGGGGTTCAGTGTTTATCATTGGGGCTCACAGAGACGGGGCTGTCTTATGCTTCAGGGTTAATAATATATCAACACATGTTGATGGATGCCCACTGAGACTACGCATATTTCAATTTCGTCCACATTTGATTCAATTTGATCATCCAGATATAATTCCCCCCTCTTTTATTGAGTGAATGGATTCGTCCATATTTTAACACTGACCCCTGCAAACATTGACTCAAAATCATCAGTGTCATTGTAGAGAATATAAATAACAAAACAAACAGGCAAACAGCACGTCTCCTTCACATATCCGTGTTTCCGCATACAATAAACAAATTTACTTTCAGAAAGCCGTGCGGCTGGTAGATTGCGTAATAAACTTTGTGGAGACAGACGTGTGTGCAAGACATGGATTACATAATTCCGCAAACATGATAATTATGTAAGTAAGTGGTCGTGCATTGGTTTTTTGCAATTTCCCCCCTATGGTTGCTTGTCCTTTGGTTTCGGCCATTATCGCCCTTTCTCTGAATGAAAATGGATTTGCCCAAATCATAAGGTTCGTTTCAAGAGACGGTGTTGGTGATGGGGTTCGTGATGTGGTTGTGAATGTTATTTATATTGTTTTGGTGATATTTATGTTGTGGTTGTCGGTGGTGGTGATGATGATAGTAATGATGGTGATGATGGTAGTGATGGTGTGTACGGCTATATATGCGTATATATGTGCGTGTTAAATAATTAATCGTGTATTCTCCATCTCTCCCGTTGCCTCTCTCCCCGTACATCTCTCTCCCCATGTGTACCTCCCTCTCCTCCGTCTCTGTCTCACCGTGTCTCTCTCTCACCGTGTCTCTCTCCCCTTTTCTCTCTTTTTCTCTCGCTTCTCATGTCTCCCCGTGTGTCTCTCTCCCCATGTGTCCCTCTCCCTCCGTTCCTCGCTCACCATGTCTGTCTCCCATTGTCACTTCTCTCCCCGTCTCTTGGTTTCTCGCTTCTCATATCTCTCCCCATATGTCTCTCTCCCCATGTGTCTCCTCTGTGTCTCCCCTCTCTCCCTCCCTCTCTATCATCCTCCGTGTGCGTGTAGATTTTGAATTTTCCCCGAATAGGTTTCCTAAACACGTTCCAACAGCTATGGACAATGAAATTAACAAGATCGCTGAGGTATTGTCAGCAACATCATCGGCATCCTCGGCAACATAATTAGGAACAGTACCATCAATATCATCACCAGCATAATCAGCAACGTCATCGGCGGCAGTAGCATCACCAGCATTATCACCAGCAGCATCAGCACTAGGTGGTTTTGGCCTACATCTCTCCTCTGTACTTTTTAAATTCATTTATTTAAGATATCCCTTTTATTGCACATGTGAGCAAACTGCGCGTGATTTGATGTTACCTGCCAGTCACTTGGAATGGTGCATTATGTGAATGTTGTTTTCCTCGAATGTATTTTTCTCAGTGTTAGCAATTTGATTCTTTTTGTGCTGCAACTACTTTTATTTTCACCAAGATCCTCTGTGGGTCATTATTTTAAATCAGCTTGAGGCTGAATGTTTGTTACCCTCGCAAACAAAATAAAAAACCCACCATCCCATATCTCCCTCTCACTGTGTTTCCCCGTGTCTCTAACCCTGTGTCTCCCTCCTGCTCTGTCTGTGTGTCTCTCAGGAGCTCTTCTCTCGGACAGTGGGAGACAGGGTTGTCCCTGTGTCTCCGTATGAGTTTCCAGAGGAGACGCCGATCGAGAGACTCGAGGAAAAGAGACAACAGCTCCAGAGACAGATTACTCACGACATCACGTGATTATGAATAAATTTACACCAGATAGTGATCACTGCTTGGCGATGATAGATTACACCACAGACATTCATCGTGACATCACCTGATTACCGATTACTACAGCAGATTGCATATTAAAGCAACTTCAGAACAGATTACATTTACACATACAATGGAGAGACAGATTACAAGCAATATGTATAATCAATATATAACACAATATATAAACTACTGATTAAAATCGCTGATTTCTGATGATAGTCACTGATTACAATCACTGATTTCTGTTGACAATCTGATTACATCTGATTTAAGATAAAACCGATTTCTGACGACAATCTATGACTTTTGATTACGATTTTTGCTTTTTGTCTGTGTATGTAGATTACAACCAGATATTTTGGTGCGTGCCAAACAAGATTTTATGAAAATTGACAGCACAGCTGATTTAGAGTGAGACTCACTCATCCACCCAACAACATCATTAATAAACTTCATTCACCACAGTAGCAGTGACGGCATCACAGAGTTTGTAGCAGGCTAGGTGCACCTTGAGGCCGAACTGTAATAAGGCTTGCTGACAGGTCACAGGACAAACCCAGGTGCCATGAGTTGATTGAATGAGATGACTGGCAGAAGACTGTGCCCCCTACTGTTCCAACTTGTGTTCTATATACCCGGCGCTCCGCTCGTTGTTGTGAGCATCACTTCTCCCTCTGTTGTTGCTGGAGGGTGACTGCCTCCAAATGCCCAGCAGCATCCTTCACGAGCCTGCACAGAGGCCAATCTTGACGGCAACTCCACTCAGCTCCATATCCTCATGTACCGTATTAGTCCATCTCTTGACCAAAGCCACGCCCGTTTAGCACCTACTATCTAGCATTTGGTGGCTGGGCATGCAGGCTCCATGGCCCAGCCGATGCAGCTTTGCCTGCCGGAGCAGCTCACTAATAGGACTGTGTCCAGATATTTTAAGGATCTGTGAGCTAACACAATCCAGTCTACACCCAGGATCGATCATCCTAAATGTTTAGAACCTGCACAGATGTTATTTTAAAGGGCACCACTTTTCACAAGCATCGAGAAGGCAGAGCATAACTGTGCCCGAGAAGTTTCACACACCAATCTACTCACCCACTCAACACTCCCTCACCACTTGCCCACCCACTCAACACTCCCTCACCACTCGCTCATCTGCTCACCCCTCTCGCCTCCTTGTGTGTGTCTTATTTGCCCTTATCGCTCTCGTCCTCTCACGCCCCCCTTTGTCCACATGTGTGAGTGTGGAGAGCGGTAGTGTAGTGGTTGGCGCACTGCGCTAAGAACCCAACGACCCGAGTTCCATTCCCGCTCATGGCCAACACCAGTGATGATTATCTGAACTGGTCCCGGACCTCTTCTAGGTCGACTCGGCCTCAAATCAGTACCTTGTGCTTTGAGTAAACTTCGCCACTGGGGAGACAAAGGCGGTCATGCGTGGTACTGGCAACCCACCCCCTTCGTGTGCCGTGCCAGCCTTCATAGGTGCTCGCTAACAGCACTTGCCCCAATAGTCTGTTAAGGCTATGCAGGGGATCTTTGTCTTTTTGTGCATGTGTGATGATTCTCTCCCTTCACTCACTTCTCTCTCTTCTCTCCTCTCTCAGGGACTATGTGAGGGAGGCTGAGGAGAGTGACTCAGGGGCTCAGGGACACTCGGACTCGGATCTGGAACTCGAGTTTCAGAGACTCCTGATCACCGGGGAGGACGCTTGTGGGGTGAGTATCCCTTTGTTTACCTGTGTACAGTTGATCGTCGATTATCCGACGCGCGATTATCCGGCTTCCAACATCTGGCTGGTCCCAGAGCCGATCCGGCAAAACCGCTCCAAAGGCTGTACCAGTCTGCAATCGGCACCATTTGCGTGACAAAAAAGTCTTTGCGCTTGATTTAGTGTCACATATATAGTACATTATAAACTACATACAACTTAATGAAAATACTGCACTATATACATTACACAACGCGAAAGTGCGTTGTGTAATTCGGCGTTCGCCAGAGCACCGGTCTAAAGGCTGCATCAGTCCAGCAATCGTCCAACACAATTTGTTGAAACAAGAGCGTACATACATCACCCCATGCAGAGTCGTGGACATTGGAGTGGTAGATATTTGTTCTATCTACGTGGCTATACCGAAAGACCCAAAGAATAAGTACGGTATAGTAAATACAGTAACTTCTTACAGTATTGTTGTCTATTTGTATGCTTAATCTTGATTTGAAGCTTTCGTGACTGCAGGAATTACTCTTTGGTTCTTTCGGTAAAGTCACGTAGAAATAAAATTAAAATAAATAATAGAACACGACGTTTTGATTGCAACACAAGCAACCGTCATCAGGTGAGAACTGTATATAAATGCAAGCTCGGAGAGAGACACATATACAGAGAGAGAGACAAACACAGACACGGAGAGAGACACATACAGAGAGAGAGACTTAACACAGAGGAGAGACACATAGAGAGATACACACACAGAGAGAGACACAGAGAGATAGACAAACACAGAGAGATAGACAAACACAGAGAGAGACACACAGAGAGACAAACATAGAGGGAGACAACCAGAGAGAGAGACAGAGAGACACATGCAGATAGAGGCACACACAGAGAAACAACGCCTCTGTGCCGAGGTATTATACATAGAGAGAGAAGGGGGGGGGGGGTGAGGCAGAGAAATTAGCATGTCAATGAGAGACAAGGGGGGATGGGACCTGCAGCAAGGGGGCATGTAGAGCCAAGGGGGGGAAGAGATCTGCGGCAGCGAGAGAAATTGGAAGCTTGAGAAATCAAACCTCGTAAACTTAGAAATGTAATGCAATGCAACACAGAGTCGGCTCACACGACAGTTAACACTTGACCTGGTTGATTACGTTCTTCCAAAGATTGTTAAATTTGAAGTTACGGCAGGAGGAGAGAAATTGGAAGCTTGAGAAATCATACCTCGTAAACTTAGAAATGTAATGCAATGCAACACAGAGTCAGCTAACACAACAGTTAACATTTTACCTGGTTGATTACGTTCTTCCAAAGATTGCGTGTGTCTCTCTCTGTGTGTGTATCTCTCTATGTGTCTCTCCTCTGTGTTAGTCTCGCTCTATGTTTTTCTCTCTCTCTGTGTATGTGTCTCTCTCCGTGTCTGTGTTTGTCTCTCTCTCTGTATGTCTCTCTCCGAGCTTGCATTTATATACAGTTCTCACCTGATGACGGTTGCTTGTGTTGCAATCGAAACATTGTGTTCTATTATTTTTTATTTCTACGTGACTTTACTGAAAGAACCAAAGAGTATTTGTATGCTTATTTATGATGATTTAACATCGTAAAAAAATTCAAACACTGAAACACATATGCACAAGACCTAAAAACATATATGTCATACAAGAATGTGCAAAGATAAGCTATTTTAAATAATGTAGTTATCCGGCGTTTTTGAAAATCCGGTGCCCCTTTTCCCCCCGAAGCCACGGGATAATCGATGATCTACTGTATCTCTGTAGTTTTTTTGTTTTCCTGCAGCTCCCCGTGTTTCCCAGTGTCCCCGTGTCTGCCCGTGTCTCAATGTGTCTCCCTGTTTATGATGATTTAACATCCCCGAGTCTGTGACTCTCTGTGTATCTCAATGTGTCTCCCATGTCTGCGTTGCCCTGTCTCTCTGTCTGTGTGTGTGTGTCCTGTATCTCCTTTCGATAAACCAATGGCCTTTTAAGAGACAGGTTCATTTTAGGAAATGCGCTTCCCCGTGTCTGTCTTTGTAATCCACTTGGTTTTGCTCTGATATCTGTTTGGTTATGTGGCCTTCGATTTAAAACTTCCACTCTCTACCGCCATGTCTCTCTTCCTCTTCCAATTTTTCTTCCAGTGTTTCTCCCTGCGTGCGTACTGAACATCTGTGAAAAATCGATTAATAGCTCATCGGATTTCTGTAGAATAAAAATAAAATTCTGAGTGTCTTATTCTCCCCCTCTCTGTTCTTTCCTTGTTTCTCTCTTTCTCTGTGCGTGTCACTCACCCGCTCTCTCCCGCTCTCTTGTTTCCCAGGTCCCACGTGATGATGTGGTGGAGGTGTCATCCTCTCTGCTCCGTGCTCTTCGTCTCCGATATAAATACTCAATGCTCGCCATGCACAGCTTCTTTCCAACCACGGCCCAGGCCCTCCTCCTCAACAGCACCACCGCGGCCACCCCGGGGACGAGCCCACAGACTATCCCTCCTCCGACTGCTACTATCCCGAGGAATATCCATCCCACTACTGCTTGCCCAGAGACTAGGCTAGATAATATCCTTCCTTCTGATACTACTACTAGTTTGAAGACTGTTGCTACTGCTACTAGCCAGGCTACTACTACTACTAGCCCAGAGACTATCCCTCCTGCTATTGCTACTACCCTGGAGACTATCCCTCCTACTACTGTTAAAGCGGAGAATACTGCGAGTGCTGCTGCTAGCCCACAGCCTCTCACCTCTCCGGGTGCCAGCTCACAGCTTTACCAGGGCTCCTATAGACACCAGAACCTTCCGAGGCTGACCCCGGTGACTCCCCGACCCCCGTCACACTCACCGTTCCCGGCGATGGCGGGGGTGAGTGGAGGGGTTGGAGGAGGGGGGGACCCATATGGGGACTACGACGTGAGTGAGTTCCCGGAGGACTGCGGATTCACCGTAGAGATGAGGGGAGGAGTGGCACACGTGTACGATGGGTGAGTGAGACGCGGATACTCACTGAGAAGAGACCCGCAGAGACACTCGTATATACATAATAATTTCATTTATATCACGCTTTTCATCAATGATCTCAAACTTCTGTACAGAACACAGCAGCAGACACGCACAGCATAAAAACAATGATAGGAATACATTTAAAAAATAAATTTACTAAATTACTAAAAGTTTAATAAGTGGAAGCATATAAGTCTTACCTATAAATGTCATTTTTGTCTGTCCGTCCATCTGTGGACGCACACTTGCGAAGGATTTGGCTCGCAAACCGTGGGGTTTTCGTTTTAAAAAAGTAGCCAGGTACCACGCCGTAAGCCCCGAGGTGAGCCAGCGCTATTCTGTTTTCCCATCCTTCAACTTTAATGTAGTTAAATAAACAATTGAGTGCAATGTATCATTATTTAATTGTTTCCTCGCGCAGCGCTAAAGCTGCCCAGGGGTTGCCGCTAGCAACGCACCCGCACCATCGGTGGCAGGGGGGGATTTCTCATTCGCGTTTAAATTGCAACATACAACGCTGAGGTAAATTCTTCACAGTGTCATGTCCTCTTCTCTCCCCCCCCACCCCAATGTGTGCACTTACTACTATAGGCTCGGTAGATACTAATATTATAGCGCTTAGATAGTATTATTGTCGCCCGGGCAGGGGGATGGTGGGGGGAGACAGGGGTAGCGGCCCAGCCTGCCAAGGTGCCACCTCGGTCGGCTGGGTAATCTAGATGAGGCCGGGGGCTCTGCTCGGGACTAGGCCTCACCATGGCAATGTTAATTGCTATTTTCTTGCTTCTTTTGCTAAACTCGTGTATATAGAAAACTAATATTTCTGAAAGAAGTTTGGAAATATTAAAATAATGTTTGTGTGTGACAACTAATATTTCAAAATGAAGTTGCTAAATATTACAATATTAATGTGTCTATGTCCTTGTGTGCATGCGAGTCGATGTGCGTGGCTGCGACAATGTGTGTGTCAGTCGATGTGTGTGTGTTAGTCAATGTTTGTGCGTGGTGTGTGTAGACAACTAATATTTAAAAATGAGGTTAGTAAATTTTAAAATAATAAGTCCATGTGTGCGTGTGAGTCGGTGTGTGTGTCTGCGTCGATGTGTGTAAGTCGATGTGTGTTTGTGTGTGAGTCTTATGTGTATCAGTCGATGTGTGTGTGTCTACGTCGATGTGTGCGAGTCCATGTGTGTGTGTGTTAGTCCATATGTGTGTGTTTCCATGTGTGTGTGCGGTCGGGCGTGGCGCTGGCCACCCACCCCCTCGTGTACCGTTCCGGCCTTTATAGGTGCTCGCTAATAGCATTTGCCCCGACAGTCTGTTAAGGCTATACGGGGGATCTTTGTGTGCATCTATATTTGTGTAAGTCCATATATGTGTGTGTAAGTCGATGTGTGTGAGAGTCCATATGTGTGTGTGTAAGTTGATGTGTTTCTATGTGTGTGGGTTGATGTCTGTGTATGTGTAAGTCGATGTGTGTGTGTCTTTCGCCTGGGCAACACCGGGTAGTCTTACCTATAAACGTCATGTTTTGTCTGTTTGTCTGTGCATGCCTATCATTGCAACGCTTTTAACTGACAAACTGTTGGGTTTACATTTCAACAGAGTACACAGATACAACACACTAAGCCCTCGGATGAAAACACGCTATTTGTTTTTGCCCTTGCTCAAATGTAAACTGATAAAATCACACTTTATAACAATTGATTATTACACTGATCGCAGCGCAAAAGCATGGGACTCGCGGTTGACCTAGCAATGCAGACGAGCTCACTGAGCGGCAGTGAGCGGCGACGGGAGGGAGGTTCTCCTTAGAAAAATATCAAGCATAGTTTCTGCTGCACAAGTACACACACCGAGGTAAATCCTGAAGAGTGTGATGACCACTTCTCCCCCCCCACCCCAATGTGTGCAGTTACTACTCGAGTCAGTAGATACTACTAAAGTCAGTATATAGTACTGTAGACGGAGTAGATACTACTGTAGAGTCAGTAGGTACTACTATAGAGTTAGTAGAAACTACTAGTCAGTAGATACCACGACAGTCAGTAGATACTACTGTAGAGTCAGTAGATACCGTTGTAGAGCCAGATACTACTATACAGTCACTAGATACTACTGACGATTGTATGTAGGTTGTATAGGTATATATGCCTACAAAAAATATATTTGGAGTGGGGGTTCAGCAATTTTTTGGAAACCTTTTAAATCAACTATTTACCCCCACTTTCTATTACTTTTTGATCATGGCTTCTGCAAGCCTCTTATAATTTTGTTGATGGACCAAATAGTTCATAGTTCATTTATTTGGTATAGCCCTGTGAGCCATTCGGCTCTTGAATCGGGTGCAACCGCAACAAACAAAAACATGAACAAGGAAAACGTCTTCTTAAAGTGATTATGTGACTGTGCAAACAGAAAATACAGGAAAAAAATATCAAAATATTCCTGAAATAGCACCGTACACCAACGCTGTGTGCAAAAATCCCAGTGGGATGCAAGTCAAAATAACAACAACAACCACAAGACAACCAAGATTAAGGCCATCAGTCAACTCCGTACTACAATAAAACAAAACGGAATGCCGGGCTTTCCCAATAGCTTAGTATTTGTATTTGATATGTTTTTTAGAGAAGGACAAGTTTTGAAATTATTTTCCCCCGGGCAAAGCGGGGTACTTCCTGCTAGTAGGTTATAAGACGCATTTTTTAAATATCCACAGACTCAGAGATCCTGATATCTCGTAGCAGAGCGTTCCATAGCTTGGAGGCTACATGGGGAAAAACTCGGTCAGTCATAGACTGAAGCTTCTACCTGGGAATGCAGAGAAGGTCTGCATCCCCAGATCTTAGGAACATTGAGGGGAGATGGATGCAGCATGTCAATGATATAGGCTGAGCAAGATGGTTTACTGCTTTGTAAGTTAACAATATAATTTTAAACTGTATTCTATGTGAAACTGGAAGCCAGTGCAGGGAGGCCAACACGGGCGTAATATGATGTAAAGAATGTGTTCTGGTTAACACCCTAGCAGCTGCACTGACTTACTGTGCAGATCAGGGGGGAAGTACATGTGTATAATGGGTGAGCGAGCCAGAGGAATCACATTGAGGCACAGTCTTGCACCAGAGACTTACAGAGATGTGTACAGATTTATAATGGCTCCTGCTCTTTTCCTGCGTGGTTCTGCCCACTCTTCCCTCTTTCTCTCCGTGCATCCCTCTCACTCCCCTCCCCGTTACACGTCTCTTCCCTTCTCTCATGTAGGAGGATGAGCTGGTAGACCTTCCCTATGTGACCTGGCAGCCTTCATTGCTGATATGAACATACTCATGGCTATGAGTATCAATGGACCCCTGTGAGTATATACTTACACATACAAAGATCCCTGTTTAGCCTGAACAGGCTGTTGGGAAAGTGCTGTTAGCGAGCATCTATGAAGGCCGACATGGCACACGAGGGGGTGGGTGGCCAGCAGCATGAACGGCCGCTTTTGTCTTCCTAACGGCGATGTTTACACACCATGCCAGATACTCGTTTGAGGCTGAGTCACCGGTGTTAGCCAGAGCGGGAATCAAACTTGGGTCCTGGATCGTAGCGCAGTGCAGAAACCATTGCACAACCACTCCCCACTAATGCACACAAGCAGCCGCCTCCACAGAAGGTCATCTTGACACCGCTGGTACCAATATCAGCAAGTTCGATCAGCTTCACATCTTGTACCACATCATCCCATCTCTTCTCCAGCCCGTTGCCATGCTATGTAGCCCCCTCTATCCGGCCGCACAAGCTGCTTGTGCATGCGGTGGCATTGTATGTGGGCTACATGACCCAGCCAGCACAACCTCGGCTGCGTGAATATTTCCAGCTGGTGCAGATGTTCGTTTTAAATAGTAATGTTACTACTGACGCTCTTACTACTTTTGATGTTGCTGATAATGATATTTATGATATTCAATCTACCCAGGAAATCCTTCTGTTATCGTCGCCTGCAATTCCTATCGGCAAAATTTCAGATGCATGCACTGCTAAACGAGATGAAGGAACTATCGGCACAGAAGAGAGTTCCTCACAGAGACTTCTACAACATACGCAAGGTACTCAGACTCCCAGATAATTAGAGACACATACTCATCCAGAGACTCAACCACAGAGACTCACAGACTTATTCAGATAAGCTCAGATTCAATAGACCCTCATGACTCACTCATAGACTGATGGGCTCCCTCAGGAGTCACACAGACTCGCACAGATACAGATTCACTTATAGGGACTCGTAGTTCCATAGACTTACTCCAAGGTCTCTGCAAGTCTGTGTCTCAGTGTGTTTCTGTTTAAGTTTGTATCTGCGTGTCTGTGTCTCTATTTGTTTATCTCTGCATTTGGTTGTGTGTGATTAGTGTTGAATAACTGTTATATATAACTCTCGAGTCACCCATGGTGTAATGGGTGACTCAGCTGTAAGTTTAGGCACGAGTTGTGTCTGGGTCTGTGCAGTCCTTTGTGGCTTATCGGCAACAGTTTCCCCTTCCCATTGGCCCTGTGATGTGAGTAGCGGTAGTGCAACGCAGCGACCCTTGTTAAATTCCCGCTCATAGCCAACACAGTGACAATTACATGAACCGGTCCTGTGCCTCCCCTAGGTCGACTCGTCTCGAATGAGTGCCTGGTGCAGTGTGTAAACATCGCCACTGGGGAGACAAAGGCAGCCGGGGGTGGTGCTGGCCACCCACTCCCTCGTGTGCAGTGACATAGCTCATAGGTGCTTGCTAACAGCACTTGCCCAACAATCTGTTTAAGGCTTTACTGAGGATCTTTGTCTTGTTTTGTGTTTATTTCAATTGGATGGGTGAGGTGTGGTGGCGTGCAGTATGTTGGGGTACAGTAGTGTATGATTGGTGTGTATTGTGTGGTGTGTTGTGTGGAACAGTGTATGGGAGTAGGACTTGATGCAGTGTGGGGGTGAGTGCAGTGGGGTTGACCTTAGTAGGTGGGGGTAGGTGTGAATGGGGCTGGGCATGTTGGGGTGGAGGTGAGGATGTCATGAGTGTGATTAGGGGGGTGTATATGTTTCTACATTTCTCTTTGTATGTAACAACATTAAGTGTGTTCCGAGGTTCTGACAACCGCTTCACTTAGTACAAATTTACATTAGTAACTATGGTGGGAAACACCCATTTAAGCTTGTGCTTGGAGGCCTCAGGGGGGAGAGGCATTGATGACGCCTCCTGGAAAACGGCATTTTCTGGAGCCAAACTCTACCATTCCTCAAGGAATTTTTCAAAAACACTTCAGGAATACGCTGAGGTTGGCCACATGGAATGTTCCGAACGCTTACTTTAGAGGAAGAGGCAGAGAAGCGACGCTCACAATAACGAGCCGAGCGTCTAAAACACAGAGTTGGCACATTTGGGAACACAGTTGGTGCATCTGCCAGTCATCTCAGTCAACCCATGGCACCTGGTATGTTCGGTAAACCTGCCATCGGCCCTTCGACCACTTCACGTAGCCTTAAAGTGCACCTAGCATGTCACAAGTGCCGTGGTGACGTCACCGCCACCTAGTGGTGAATGGCAGTTATAATAATCAGGCACATTGTCTATATTTTTGTTTCTGTGTGTCTCTGTGGCTTTAGGTGGACACACATATCCACGCCTCATCTTGTATGAATCAAAAACATTTGCTGAGGTTCATAAAGAGGGCAGTGAAGAGGGAAAGCGACGAGGTGGTGCACAGAGACCAGGGGAAAGAGCAGACGCTCAAACAGGTACCACACATCAACACGCACACCTGGCCCAACCACTGCCAGCCCTTTAATAATACAGCAAGCTTCTCTACACACACAGACCACACACTGAAACATATACAGTACCTTATAACCCTACATTATACAACAACAGCAACCGCCATTCGCCACTAAGTGGCGGTGATGTCACCACTGCGCTTGTGCCAGGCTATGTGCATGTTGAAGCCACGTGAAATGTTGAACGCCCGCTGGCAGGAGGTCACAGGGCAGACCTAGGTGCCACGGGTCGACTGACTGAGATGACTTGCCGATGCACCAGCTGATTCTTATGGCGTTACCCCGGGGTCCCAAATAATACAAAATGACCGAGACAATTAAATATTTTATTTCTGGGACACTATTTTTTCCAGGGTGTACTTAACTCCGCGACTGGGTACCAATCAATCCAAAATCAGTGCTACTCCGTGATATCGAATTGCCAAACATTAGCATAATAAAATCCATTCTCGAAAAAATTCAACTTTGAATAGTGCATCGTGGACAGCTCGTTGAGATGAGTCGAATGCTGCATCGCCAACCATCAACAGACAAACAATGACTGCATCACAGACATTATGCGAGTGCCGGGGTCCTATGGAACCCTGGGGTACCGCCCCCTACTATGCCAACTTGCTGTGTTTTAGCCGCCCGGTGCTCCGCTCGTTCCTCTACCCTATGTTGTTGTTGGAGGTCGACTGCCTCCAACTGCCCAGTAGCGTCCTTCACGATCCTCCTCCACAGAGGCCAATCTTGACACCGCTGGTACCAGTCATCGGCAGGTCCACTCAGCTTCACATCCTCTTGTACCACATCACTCCATCTCTTCTCTAGCCTGTGCCCTGCCCGTTTACCCCCCTCTATCTGGCCGAACAAAAGCTGTTTAGGCATGCGGTGGCTGGGCATGCGGGCTACATGACTCAGCCAATGCAGCATTGCCTGCCGGAGGAGCTCACCGATGGGACTTTGTCCAGATCTTTCAAGGATTTGTGAGCTCACACAATCCAGCCTGGTTAAACCCAGGATGGATCGTAGGCAGGCCAGCCCAATTGTTTCAAACTGGCGAAGATGTTCCATTAGGGGGGTCCACGTTTCGCAAGCGTAGAGAAGGGAGGGCATGACTGTAGCCGAGAAGACCTGAAGCTTCGTATGGAGCGGACAGACGAGGTGGCTTCCACACAGTTACGCAACCAATGAAAAGATAATGCCGCTCAACTAATTCAGAGTGTGACCTCTGATGTCAAACCGGAGCCGGTCATGAGCACACTGCTCAGGTTTGGGAAACTCTCCACTCTTTCCACAACTGCCCATCACCAATTGGGAGTTGTGGGGGTGGAGTGACTGATGGTACAAAATACCCAGGCAGGTGCTTAGTTTTGGTGGGGCTAATGGTAAGGCCCCACCTCTTAGTGGCACGCTCCAGGTTCAGCAGCAGCGTCTCCAACTCCTCCTCTGAGTGAGCAGCAATTACCAGATTTTTCGGCAAACATAACATCGTTGACCAATAGGGAGCATTCCTTGACCGCACCCGGACATCGATCAGCCTCCCATTCTATCTGTATCAGATGGAAATTCCTCCAGTACAGCCATAGAAGGCTTCACAAACTACATGGTAGAAATGGATGTTAAATAATCTGGAAGACAGAGGACATCCCTGTCACACCCCAAGGTGACCAGGGAATGGCTCCGACTCCCGGCCACGTAGTTTTACCCATGCCCACTCACCATCATGAACGTCTTTAATGATTGTGAACAAAGAGTCAGGGACTCCGAAACCACGAAGAACAACCCAGAGCTCAGGCCTACTGTTGGTATCATCGGCCTTGACCAGGTCAATAAAGCAGAGACGTACGTAGGTTTTGTTGGAATTCCGTACACCTCTGCTGTAGCAGACGGACAGAAAATATGGCATCTGTGCAGGACCGCCCTTTCCTGAAACCACACTGGGGCTCCGCAAGCCTCTCCTCAGCATGCCTGGCAAGGCGATGTTAAATAATCCTTGCCAGGACTTTTCCTGGCACACTGAGGAGTGAGATGCTGCTGTAGTTACAGTCTGTGCAGTCCCCCTTCTTAAAGAGGGGGACCACCAGGGTATTCTTCCAATCCTGCAGAACCCGTCCAGTAGTCCAGACTTATTATGATGTCATGCAGGGCAGTCTGTGCACAAACACCACCATCCCTCAGTATTTTGCTTGGTAGATCATCTCTGCCCAGTGCCTTTCCTGGTCTCAGACTCTGGATCGCCTTCAGAACTTCCTCATCAGATGGCACCTTAACCAGCCACTCAACAGTGGGTGACTTCCAATATTTTAGGCACCGCAACCTCAGCAGGGTCATGCCCACTTTGTCCCATGATGTTTTCCAGGCTGAGGGATTTTCCCTCCCCCAGGACCTCAGAAATACTCAGCAAACCTATTCCTGGGAGTTGGCGATTGGATCACCATTCTTTCCCCTAATGATAGTAATAGGTGTGGCGCTACAAGTAACTTTTTTGATGGAATTAAAGAGCGATTTGTGATCGCGGGTCACTGAGGCAGATTCTATTTCCTCAGCAACCCGCGATCAACCACCCATCCTTGTAGCGCCTCACGGCTCTCCGAACCTCTGAGCGAAGGCTGCGGTAAGCCTCCTTATTCTCTGACGTGGGATGCTGAAGATGATGTGAATGGGCTTGTCGCTTTTTCTCAGCCAGCCTGAACACCTCTGTCAGCCAGGGTCTCTGGGGAGGTCTGGACCGCGTACCCTGTGCAGCCATTGCAGCTGAATGAGCCACAGTCCTAAACCTCGCCCATTTCCCCTCGGCATCAGGGTGGAGTGGGGGACGATGCCAACCCCAGCCGCAAGCGATAATGAAATTCTCGCTTGCAACTTTCATCAGCTAGCTGAGACCAGGCCACTATGGGTTTCAATTGGGTCCTGGGTGTACACTCACCACCGGAGTGGAAGAATGGCAGGCGCATCTTACAGATGACAAGTTGATGGTCAGTGCGTGGATCAGCTCCACGGTAGATCCTGGTGTCAAGGGCATGGGCCCGCATCCGCTGTTCCGTGACAAAATAGTCCAGCAGATGTTCTTGCTTGGACCCGGCATGCATCCATGATGTATGGATGCGCTGATGCTGGAACAGCATGTTGGTAATTACAAGCCTGCACAAAATCTGCACAAAAATCTAGCAGCCTCCTACCATTGTTATTGAGCTGATCTGGCCCATGGCTTCCAATCACTCCAGACCAGGTGCCAGCATCATGACCAACTCGGGCATTGAATTCACCCAACAAGATGACTCCATCCCGAGGGGCCACTTTAGCTAATACCTGTGACAGGAGGTCATAGAAAGCATCTGACTTATCGGCCTTGCCTGCATCCCTCCACTGATGTTCATCTTCGGTGGGGGCATAAGTAACCACGACCATCGCTCCTCGCCTCTGATAAGAAGGTGAGCCCCAAGTAGCCTGAGGCTTACAGCTTCCCACACCTCACGGCCACGCTCCCATGCCTCCTTCATTCTTTTGTTCAGAAGAAGAGCCACTCCCTGTTTGGCAGTCTCCTGCCCCGAGTAGAGGACTGTCCACCCCTCATGGTGGCAGGAGCCAGAGCCGGTCCACCGGACCTCCTGAATACCACAGAGATCCAGGCAGTACCGGTTCAGCTCCTGACAGTAGTGGCGGGCTCTCCTCCGCAGTGAGCATTTGAACATTCCACGTGGCCACCCGCAGTGGCTTTTTGCTGTTTCTAGAGGAACCCCGAGGGTAAGGATTCAATCTCCTGGCTCCGCCAAATGGGGTTTGGCCAGGAGATGTCATGGACACCTGTCCACCCGGGGCCTCCGGCACAAGCTTAGATATTTTTGTCGTGGTTTAGTGGTACTTAGATTGAAGGTGGAGGGATTACCAGTCCCTCGCACCCATCCAGAGCCCCCTTTGGCTGCTGTGGTGGCTACAAATGCCATGAGGGAAATGGCCAATCGAAATTTACCCTCCCCCCATGGCACTGCTCACCACAGTGTAACCGACCTCCAACGAGGAGGTAGGGGGTTATTTTGCCGAACTACATTATAACGATTATACAATACACATTTCCTAATAAGTGTAATATTTTGGATATGCGTAAAAAACACTTTTTTTCGCATTTTTTTAAAACAAAGAACACACGTGGTGAAAACAGACTAATATGCAATGTGATACTGTACTATACACGCATAGCATGTTTCACGGTGGGGGGGGGGGGCCCTGCAAGTGCTACTCGCTGTAACAGGACCAAATTAATTTGTGACGATGATAATTTGTGTGAATGTACAGGGGAAGCCAGTGGTTGTCCATGGATGGGTTAGCAGCCCAAAAATGCCACCAATGGGATTTTTTTATCCACTAATCGTGACAGGAATCCAGTACTGATTTAAAAAAAAAGCCTCTGCTTGATGAATGCTCAATCACATAGACAGATGTATAATTTTGCTGCTGAAAAATCGTATTTGAGTAAAGTCACGCCCAATTCTTCCATGTATATTCACTACAATACAGTAAACATTGCACTATGTACACTACGTTATACGCTATGTAATATACATTACACTCTACGCATCTATTTCACTACATTATTCACATTGATATGGACAATTAGCCCAGCCATTACTATATCAACAGTAACTCTATGCACAGTAATTTATTGTCACTCTTCGCTTAACGTCGGGGGTACGTTCCCGGAAAATGCAACTTTAACTTAAACAACATTAAGCAAAACATTTTCCTATAAGAAACAACGTAAATAGGGGATGTTATGTCTTTGGGAAATTTCCTATCTCACTTAAGAAAATAATTAAAATTTTTCACGTACGTATAAAAAAACTAAATAACACTGGTGATAAAATTTTGATGGAAAGCTTTCGTGACTGCAGGGATTCATATTCTTGGTTCTTTCGGTAAAGTCACGTAGAAGGGAAACAATAAAATAATAAAAATATAGAACAATCAAATTCTCATGACGTTTCGACTGCAACACAAGCAATCATCATCAGGTGTGGGTGATATGGAGCAACTGTTATCGGTGTGGATTGAAAATAAAAATCAGCGCCACATTCCTCTCAGTTTACTGGTGATCCAGCCAAATGCACGAAGTGGTGAATCAGGGTGTCATTGCAACTTTCAAAGCTGCCACATCTTCATCAAGGCATGGGAGATTTTTAGTAGAGATGATGCAAGCAGGGAGGGCAGTGTGCAAGAAAACAACTGATACTTTGCAATGCTACAAGCAACTCGACTTAGAAAAGAAGAAGTTGTGCAATAATCATTTGATGTGTCCCTGTGGCTCCAACACCTCACTCCACAAGCATCAATGGTGTTAACCTAACCGTTTCTATACTTATAGCTCCACTTAATCACCAGTACTCTTGCTTCTTTCGGTAAAATCACGTAGAAGGGAAACAATAAAATAATAAAAATATAAAACAATAAAATTCTCACGACGTTTCGACTGCAACACAAGCAATCATCATCAGGTGTGAAAACCACAGCAAGAAAATTTGAAAAAAGTGGCGTTTTTTTTTACGTTAGCACCACGGAGAGCGATTTGGCAGTTATTTAGATGGACGAGTCCATCTGTGTTCGGAAAAGAGGAGGGAGGAGACGAAGATAATGGATGCGGTCTGAAAGCCACCGTAAGAGTGAACAATCAATTAAGACCCGAAATGGTTTATCAAATCCTTCCAATGATTGCTTAGCCAGAATCCATCTTATCAGTTGAAATTGTCTGTGTTTGTATATATGGATAGCCTCATGAACGAATCTTTCATGGTAGTCAGATGGCTTGCAAAGAACCTCTGTCTTGGAGAAGTCAATGTCATGTGAGCCTACTGAATTATAACAGTGATCTGCCACGGCCGAGGTGTTGGTCCTACCGTGTTTTAGGTCTGCTTTGTGTTCACGAATGCGGTCCGAGACATGTAGTTTGGTTTCTCCAATGTAACTACTACCACAGAGGCAACTTAGTTTGTAGACGCCAGGTACTGCATGTCGGGAATCACATATTTAACAGACGGAACCAGATCACGGATTTTATGTAATGTGTTGAATCGGACCTGGATCTTGTGTTTATTCAAGATTTTAGAGATCTTTTTTGCGATCCCCATGGATGACACTTTTGTCATCTGGCCACATGGCCGGCCTGCTCTAGACCAATTCCTCGATCACATCAATTCCATACACCCAGCCATCAGATTTACCATGGAATTATAAAAGATGGCAAGCTACCTTTTTGGATGTCCTAATAAAAAAGAGACCTGATGGTTCAATGAGCCACTGTCTACAGGAAAGCTACCATTCTATCTGTATCAGATGGAAATTCCTCAGTACAGCCATCAAAGGCTTCACAAACTACGTGGTAGAAATAGATGTTAAATAATCTGCTTATCTGAAACAGGATTCCCACCACCATCCATCCAGAAGAATTCCATCAAGACTCTGCACCATAGAGCCCAATGCATATCTGACCAGGAACACATAGCCAGTGAACTCAAGCATGTAAACCAAGCTCTTAAGGCTAATGGTTGCTGTGACTACACAATCCGCAAAGCTATCACTCCAACCATGAAGAAGGACCATCTTGAGTAGCCTTTCAAAACCATAACTTTACCCTACATTGCGGGGATCACAAAAAAAATCTCCAAAATCTTGAATAAACACAAGATCCAGGTCCGATTCAACACATTACATAAAATCTGTGATCTGGTTCCATCTGTAAAAGATGTACAGTACCCTGGCGTCTACAAACTAAGTTGCCTCTGTGGTAGTAGTTACATTGGAGAAACCAAACGACATGTCTCGGACCGCATTCGTGAACACAAAGCAGACCTAAAACACGGTAGGACCAATACCTCGGCCGTGGCAGATCACTGTTATAATTCAGTAGGCTCACATGACATTGACTTCTCCAAGACAGAGGTTCTTTGCAAGCCATCTGACTACCATGAAAGATTCGTTCATGAGGCTATCCACATATACAAACACAGACAATTTCAACCGAGAAGATGGATTCTGGCTTAGCAATCATTGGAAGGATTTGATAAACCATTTCGGGTCTTAATTGATCGTTCACGCTTACGGTGGCTTTCAGACCGCAGCCATTATTTTCCTCTCCTTCCTCTTTTCCGAACATAGATGGACTCGTCCATCTAAATAACTGCCAAATCGCTCTCCGTGGTGCTAACGTTAAAAAAACGCCACTTTTTTCAAATTTTCTTGCTGTGGTTTTCACACCTGATGATGATTGCTTGTGTTGCAGTCGAAATGTCGTGAGAATTTTATTGTTTTATATTTTTATTATTTTATTGTTTCCCTTCTACGTGATTTTACCGAAAGAAGCAAGAGTACTGGTGATTAAGTGGAGCTATAAGTATAGAAACGGTTAGGTTAACACCATTGATGCTTGTGGAGTGAGGTGTTGGAGCCACAGGGACACATCAAATGATTATTGCACAACTTCTTCTTTTCTAAGTCGAGTTGCTTGTAGCATTGCAAAGTATCAGTTGTTTTCTTGCACACTGCCCTCCCTGCTTGCATCATCTCCACTAAAAATCTCCCATGCCTTGATGAAGATGTGGCAGCTTTGAAGTTGCAATGACACCTGATTCACCACTTCGTGCATTTGGCTGGATCACCAGTAAACTGAGAGGAATGTGGCGCTGAATTTTAATTTCAATCCACACCGATAACAGTTGCTCCATATCACCCGCTGCAAAGCAGCGTAATGATTCTAATTTGCTTTTCAGTATGATTACCTACCGACACATTGTGCCGCTTGAAGAAGTAGGATCACTTCTTGGTATTTCAGCACTCGTGTTGAAAACAGGGTGGGTGAGTGGGTGGCCGGCACCAAAGACAAAGATCTCCCTGTAGCCCTTAACAGACTCTTGGAGCAAGTGTTGTTAGCAAGTAGCACCTGTGAAGGATGGCATGGCATGCGAGGGGATGGGTGGCCAGCACCACACATGCCCGGTCGCCTTTGTCTCCCAAGTGTTGATGTTTAATACACACCACACCAGGTATTCATTTGGGGCTGAGTCGACTTAAGAGGCCCAGGACCTGGTTCAGTTGATCGATGCCACTAGTGTTGGTAGGAGTGGCTGTGAGCAGCAACCAAACTCAAGTCTGCCGGGTTTGTAGCGCAGCACACTAACCATTGCACCACTGTTCCCCACTCACTCGCAACTATAACAACAACCGGCGTTCGCTAAGTGGCAGTGACGTCGCCACAATCAACTGAGATGAGGGTATGCTGCCACATGCTGTATCATTCCGTGTACTGTATCATTCCGTGTACTGTATCATTCCGCGTACTGTATCATACCGCTCACCTGTGCAGCCCAAGAAAGCAAAGACTTCCCATACAGTATGGCTGCGTAGAGATGTACTGTGTCGGTAGGGTGCGTTGTCTAGCAACGTACATGGTGCGCAGCCGCCTTGCTCTCCACTGTGGAAGTAGTTGCCTGCCGCCAGTGACGTAATAGCGATACCACGCGACGTTAGATACATACGTGAGTAATGATTCATCAGCGACGTTGCAGCGATGCAACGTTAAATGGGCCGACGTTAAGCGAGGAGTGACCAAGACTACAACCAGTAACACAGCACTGTTTGCTGATGATGAAGCTGATGCTGATGTCATAATACTGTTGCTGCTGTTGATGATGATTCTAATTTAGGTGTTTGAAGACCTCAATCTGACTGCATTCGATCTCAGCGTGGACATGTTGGATGTGCATGCGGTAATACCGACTTGCAGATGCACAGACTTGCATACACCTAATATTTTCATAGAGACTCACAAAGGCAAACAGTCTGTCATAGAGCTGGTAGAGACACACAGACTCGCGCTTCTACTCGCACTATTCACTCATTAATTTACACAATTTTAATTGTACAGTTTCCTGCTGGGCACTACAGTGAGGGAAACGAAGTATTTGATCCCCTGCTGATTTTGTACGTTTGCCCACTGACAAAGAAATGATCAGTCTATAATTTTAATGGTAGGTTTATTTGAACAGTGAGAGATAGAATAGCAACAACAAAATCCAGAAAAACGCATGTCAAAAATGTTATAAATTGATTTGCATTTTAATGAGGGAAATAAGTATTTGACCCCTCTGAAAAACATGACTTAGTACTTGGTGGCAAAACCCTTTTTGGCAATCACAGAGGTCAGACGTTTTTTGTAGTTGGCCACCAGGTTTGCACACATCTCAGGAGGGATTTTGTCCCACTCCTCTTTGCAGATCTTCTCCAAGTCGCTAAGGTTTCGAGGCTGACGTTTGGCAACTCGAACCTTCAGCTCCCTCCACAGATTTTCTATTGGATTAAGGTCTGGAGACTGGCTAGGCCACTCCAGGACCTTAATGTGCTTCTTCTTGAGCCACTCCTTTGTTGCATTGGCCGTGTGTTTTGGGTCATTGTCATGGTGGAATACCCATCCACGACCCATTTTCAATGCCCTGGCTGAGGGAAGGAGGTTCTCACCCAAGATTTGACGGTACATAACCCCGTCCATCGTCCCTTTGATGCGGTGAAGTTGTCCTGTCCCCTTAGCAGAAAAACACCCCCAAAGCATAATGTTTCCACCTCCATGTTTGACGGTGGGGATGGTGTTCTTGGGGTCAAAGGCAGCATTCCTCCTCCTCCAAACACGGCGAGTTGAGTTGATGCCAAAGAGCTCCATTTTTGTCTCATCTGACCACAACACTATCACCCAGTTGTCCTCTGAATCATTTAGATGGTCATTGGCAAACTTCAGACGAGCATGTATATGTGCTTTCTTGAGCAGGGGGACCTTGCAGGTGCTGCAGGATTTCAGTCCTTCACGGCGTAGTGTGTTACCAATTGTTTCCTTGTGGACTATGGTCCCAGCTGCCTTGAGATCATTGACAAGATCCTCCCTTGTAGTTCTGGGCTGATTCCTCACCGTTCTCATAATCATTGCAACTCCACGAGGTGAGATCTTGCATGGAGCCCCAGGCCGAGGGAGATTGACAGCTCCTTTGTGTTTCTTCCATTTGCGAATAATCGCACCAACTGTTGTCACCTTCTCACCAAGCTGCTTGGCAATGGTCTTGTAGCCCATTCCAGCCTTGTGTAGGTCTACAATCTTGTCCCTGACATCCTTGGCCATGGTAGAGAGTTTGCAATCTGATTGATTGCTTCTGTGGACAGGTGTCTTTTATAGAGGTAACAAGCTGAGATTAGGAGCACTCCCTTTAAGAGTGTGCTGCTAATCTCAGCTCGTTGCCTGTATAAAATACACCTGGGAGCCAGAAATCTTTCTGATTGAGAGGGGGTCAAATATTATTTCCCTCATTGAAATGCAAATTAATTTATAACATTTTTGACATGCGTTTTTCTGGGGTTTTTTTTGTTGTTATTCTGTCTCTCACTGTTCAAATAAACCTACCATTAAAATTATAGACTGATCATTTCTTTGTCAGTGGGCAAACGTACAAAATCAGCAGGGGATCAAATACTTTTTTCCCTCACTGTATGTGTGTGTGATATCTCAGGACAGGAACACATTTCACCGGTTTGATAAGTTCAATGCCAAGTACAACCCTGTGGGGAGTCGATCCTCAGGGAGATTTTCATCAAGACTGACAACTGCATCGGAGGAGATACTTTGCCCACATTATCAAGGTGAGAAAGATGCATGGGGAGATGAGAGAAAGGGGATACAAGGAGGAGATAGAGTAAGAGATAAGAGGAGCAGGGGAGAGATGGAGAGATACACTGGGGGAGGGACATGGGCAGAGAGGAAGAGATAAAATGGGGAGGAGAGATACAGGAAGATATATGGATAAATAGGGAGGGGGGTGAAGAGGAAGTTGCTATCGAGGGAGGAGAGAAAGGATGAGTGAGGGAGGCAGAAGGCAAAAGGGAGACCGGGAAAGGGAGAAGCTGGGAACAATAGATGGTGAGAGCGATGGAGACATGAGAAGGACTGAGTAGAAGGAAGAAGAGACACATGGAGAGGGGGCGATATGGGGTGAGATGGGAAGTGTCATAAAAAACACAAAGTGATGTCATTCACCATCTCTGCCATCCAAAGGTCACATGACTCGAAGTGCTGTCTCCCCCCCCCCTTTACAGGAAGTAATGTCAGACCTGGAGGAGAGCAAGTACCAGAATGCCGAGCTGCGTCTCTCCATATATGGGCGTGAGAGGGGCGAGTGGGAGGGACTGGCAAAGTGGGCAGTGACTCACCGGGTCTACTCCCACAACGTGCGCTGGCTCATCCAGATCCCTCGCCTATAGTGAGTGAGCTTCCTGGTTACGGGGACCCTCCAAAGCAAGGAGCATGTATATAGGGGATCCACCCAAATTGGGCACCTCACATAGTGTCCCTTTAATAAATACAGCATATTTTGTGAGCAAACACAGAAATAATGAACACAATTTATAACGCAAGCATATTTTGTGAATCGGATGCATTGTTTTATTGAGAAGTTTAACACAGACTTTCGCGACCAATATTATTTACAATATAGGTTTTTTGGGGTTAGATTGCGTAAATATAAATGTGTCGTTAAGCCCGCCACCACCCGACACAGCCAATTCATAAGGTTTGTCACGTAAACAAAACGTGTCAATTAGTTATTACTTCAGCACACCGGTGTTTTGGTTGAGAACTCAGAGGCTTGGAACCAGAGATCAAAGTCCGTCGTACGCAGCCTAAAGAGCTGAGAGCCCGACAGGTGACCCCTCAGCTGTTGCTTACAGGTGGATAGTAGTGTTTGGATGCGGTGTGGGCGTGTTTGCATTGGGAGGGAGTCCCAGATGGCCGGTGCAGCTATGGAGAAATGCTGTTCAGCCAAAATAGCCTTGGTTCTTGGTACAAGATGAGTACAATGTTTGACGAAATTAATTTTGAGGAATGGGTTTTTGTATGGTCATTGGAGCCAGAAGTGGAATAAGTATGGTGGGAGACCTTGAAAATGAGCCCGATGGTACAGCAATTTTTTTTACTGTGTTCCTGATGCTATGGAGAGCCGGTGCAGGGTTCTAAGCGTAGACATGGAAGACACATGGCCATGCCTTCTAATGATGAGAACAGCGGTGACAGGTTGTTTCCAAGCTGTTGTAGTTTTCTGAGGTGTTTTTTTCCCGAAAAGTTCCCGAGGTAAGGATGGCCGTAATCAAGCGAGAGCCAACGATACGACAAGCCCCCGAGAGTTTGCAGCGGCCGGAGTCAACGTTGGGGCGGATGTGCCGCCACGAGCGCCTGAGACGGTGACTACGTGTCTCTTTATTTTGCGTTCAGGACATGCTTGTCATTGGAGAAGGAGGAGTCAAGTTGATGCCGAGGATTTTTCAGATGATTTGAGAGGCTAAATGTGGAGCCAGCGATTAGTAGAGTTGGAGGGAATGACACCCGTGTTGGACCATAGCCTGGTGCCTTGGAAAAAGAGCCCACGGACATGTCCGGGTTAAATTGGTGATTTAACCGATACCAGTGCTGTAAGAGGTATAACTCGCAAGGTTGAGTGGACCCAGGTCTGAGGTTGGAGTGGCTGTGATCATTAATGCTGGGACTTTCGATGAGGCGACCGATTGGGAAGATGTAGTCCGAGAAAAGTAAAAGAACCAATGACGGATCCCTGAGGGACACCTGCATTGGGTTTGACGACTGGGAATGAGGACTTGCCAACCTTGACGTAGAACCTGTCAGAGAGGTAAGATGCAAGCCACTGTGGAGCTGTGGCATTGATGGTGAAGTTACATTCTCAGCATTGAATCAAAATCTGATTTAAAGCATCAAAGGTGACAGAAATGTCAAGGCTGATGACAGAAACAGGACGAGTGTGCTGGGTGGCAGGCAGACTGAAGAGGGCAATAGTTGAGGGTTGAAGTGATGTCATCTTTGAATCGGACAATTGTGAGGCGCTTAAGTTTGGAGATGGATGATCCATTTTTGATGGGGTAGTAGTTTTAAGGGTCATCAGGGTCTGAGGCAGGTTCTTAAATGTAGGTGTCACTTGGCTCAATGTATGTAAGAGAGAGGAAAACACTCGTCTGGAAGGAGGAATTAGCAAGGTGAAAAACTATAATTACCAATTTGTCAGTGCACTGCCTAAAATAGCTAATGGTAAGATATTTAGGGGAGAAGTTTTAGTCTGGGTGTTGTCGATTAGATTGATCTTTACAGGCCGAAGGAGTCATCGTGATGGTGTAGGCGATGCTGGTGAGTTTTGTCAAGAAAGCGACTATACTTAAAAGCAAGCGAAGATTCCGGTGATCACACACAGTCACATATGTCAGCGGTGGAGAATTGGCGTGAAGTATAGAGCACAGTTGACGTGGGTCAGTTGGCCGCAGAGATGTGATTGTTTGTGTGAAGTGTGCTAGGCCACGATGAGCTTTGTAGGTGGTGGCTCTACAGGCGAGGCGATGTGTAGCATGATCAGCTTTGAAACCAGAGCACACGCAGATAGTTTCCACTAGTCGAAGTCTGCTGTGTTTTGATGCAACAGCTGCTTCTGCTGTTGCTGCTGTTGCAGAAAGCCACCCAGTTATCATGAGGTGGAGCCAGCCGCTTAAAAGTTTTATGGTTGCTAAAGTGTCGACGATGTCCAAGGTGAGGTTCCAATTGGTTCGCTTGAGATTGTGGCATTGTCTGATGTTAAAGAGGAGGCGGAGGTGAGAAGAGATTCGCATGGTGAGGTTTAAGGAGCCAAGATTGCGAGAGTTGTTGGTGATTGTTGGGGTAACTGGGCAATAAATGGTAATAATGGAGTTTATGAGACTAGGACAATTCCTCATAGTTGGACTTGACAATTGGATATGTGCATGATTATTATATGATGCTGATGACAGATTTGTCTCTCCTTTGTCTCCCTATGTCTCTCACCCCATGTCTTCCTTTCCGCCCATGCCTCTGTGCAGTGATGTGTACCGCAGTAGGAATCATCTGGAGAGTTTTGAGGAGATGCTGGGAAAACATTTTCCTCCCTCTCTTTGAGGTGTCGATTGCTCCACAGAGGCACCCGAGCTGCACCTCTTTCTCCAGCCACGTACGTGCCTCCCCACATCTCCTCACGTCTCCCGGCATCTACCCGTATCTCTACATCCATGTATCCCTGTCTCTCTCCCTCTCTTTCCCCACGTCTTCCCTTGTCTCTCCGTGTCTCCCCTTTCGTTGTCTTTCCGTTGTATCTTTCCGTGTCTCCCCTTGTCTGTCTCCCTCGTGTGTCTACGTGTCTCGTTGCATCTTCCCGTGCCATCTTTCTGTCTCCCTCTCTCATATCACGTCTTCTCCCCTCGCCCTATATGTCCCAGTGTGTTTCTGGTGTCTCCCTGTATAGCTTTGGGTCTCTCCATATATTCAGTGTTTGTGTCTCCTAGTTACTGGATTTTACACTGTGGACTTGGGGCCCAATGTCTCATTGTGTCCCCATGTTCTGCCCGTTCAACACAGGACTATTGAATGTGGTCTGCTGTTTGGAAATTGCTGGTAATTCACAAGATAATTAGTTACAAGCATTGACATGTAGGTTATTGTTATTCTTAGTTTTTTCGGTAAAGTCACGTTGAAGAGAAACAACAAAATAACAAAATATATATAAAACAATAAAAAATTCTCACGACGTTTCGACCATAACTCAAACGGTCATCATCAGGTGTGTCGGTTTGCATAAATGTATTTTTAAAACGGCACATTTATTTATTTATAAAAAAAACGTTGGCGTCACGCGCAGCGATTGGCAGTTTGCCCAGGACTAGTCCATCTATTTTTTTGAAAAGAGGAGGGGGGAGACGAAATTTTTTATAATGTATGCTGTCTGAAAGCCACTGTAAGCGTGAACAATCAATCAAGAACTGAAATGATTTATCAAATCTTTCCAATGATTGCTAAGATAGAATCCATCTTCTCGGTTGAAATTGTCTCTGTGCTTGTATATGTGGATAGCCTCATGAACGAATCTCTCATGGAAGCCAGATGGCTTACAAAGAACCTCCGTCTTGGAAAAGTCAATGGCATGTGAGCCTACTGAATTAGAACAATGATCTGCTACGGCCGAGGTGTTGGTCCTACCGTGTTTAAGGTCTGCTTTATGTTCACGAATGCGGTCCGAGACATGGCGTTTGGTTTCTCCAATGTAACTACTACCACAGAGGCAACTTAGTTTGTAGACACCAGGGTATTGTATGTCCGGAATCACATCTTTTACAGACGGAACCAGATCACGGATTTTATGTAATGTGTTGAAACGGACCTGGATCTTGTGTTTATTCAAGATTTTGGAGATCTTTTTTTGTGATCCCAGCAATGTAGGGTAAAGTGATGGTTTTGAAAGGCTCCTCAAGAGGGTTCTTCTTCATGGTTTGAGTGATAGCTTTGCGGATTGTATAGTCGGAGTAACCATTAGCCCTAAGAGCTTGGTGTACGTGCTTGAGTTCACTGCTTATGTGTTCCTGGTCGGATATGCATTGGGCTCTATGATACAGAGTCTTGATGAGAGAATTCTTCTGTGATGGATGGTGGTGGGAATCCGGTTTCAGATAAGCATCCGTATGGGTAGCTTTCCTGTAGACAGAGTGGCTCATGAACCATCAGGTCTCTTTTTAATTAGGACATCCAAAAAAGGTATCTTGCCATCTATTTCGACTTCCATGGTAAATCTGATGGCTGGGTGTATGGAATTGATGTGGTCGAAGAATTGGTCTAGAGCAGGCCGGCCATGTGGCCAGATGACAAAAGTGTCATCCACGTACCTCTTCCATAAGGTTGGGCGCAGAGTGGCAGTCTGGATGGCGTCAGTCTCAAATTTCTCCATGAAAATGTTAGCTATAACTGGAGAAAGGGGGGAGCCCATTGGGGTGCCCTCAGTTTGTTTGTAGAAAGTTCCATTCCAAGTGAAGTATGTATTGGTTAAACAGTGTCTCACCAGGGGGGGTACCTCAGTGTTTAGTCCTTGATGAACCAAGTCTTCAATGATAGCAATGGTGTCAGGTACAGGAACCTTGGTGAATAAGGAAACTACATCAAAACTGACAAGCAGGTCGTCTGGGCACAGGGAAATACCCTTGATTGTTGATACCAGGTGAGTAGAATTTTGTACCGCAGAGGTGGTCTTTCCAGTGAAAGGACGCAGGATTTCAGACAAAAAAACGAGCTAGTTTGTAGGTGGGGGAGCTGATAGTAGAGACTATGGGACGAAGAGGTGTATCAACTTATGTATTTTTGGTAAGCCGTATAATCTTGGTGGCCTGGCAGCAGAAGGTTTCAACGAAAACTGTTTAGATTGATCAATTAATGTGGTTGAATCAGAAATTATTTTGTTGGTTTGTGTGACGAGGCTGTTGGTGGGATCTCTTTTTATTTTTGTATAACTACCATCGTCGAGTAATTCTTTAATTTTGTTGTTGTATTCTATTTTATCCATGATGACAGTAGCAAAGCTACAATCCGCAAAGCTATCACTCAAACCATGAAGAAGAACCCTCTTGAGGAGCCTTTCAAAACCATCACTTTACCCTACATTGCTGGGATCACAAAAAATATCTCCAAAATCTTGAATAAACACAAGATCCAGGTCCGTTTCAACACATTACATAAAATCCGTGATCTGGTTCCGTCTGTAAAAGATGTGATTCCGGACATACAATACCCTGGTGTCTACAAACTAAGTTGCCTCTGTGGTAGTAGTTACATTGGAGAAACCAAACGCCATGTCTCGGACCGCATTCGTGAACATAAAGCAGACCTTAAACACGGTAGGACCAACACCTCGGCCGTAGCAGATCATTGTTCTAATTCAGTAGGCTCACATGCCATTGACTTTTCCAAGACGGAGGTTCTTTGTAAGCCATCTGGCTTCCATGAGAGATTCGTTCATGAGGCTATCCACATATACAAGCACAGAGACAATTTCAACCGAGAAGATGGATTCTATCTTAGCAATCATTGGAAAGATTTGATAAATCATTTCAGTTCTTGATTGATTGTTCACGCTTACAGTGGCTTTCAGACAGCATACATTATAAAAAATTTCGTCTCCCCCCTCCTCTTTTCAAAAAAATAGATGGACTAGTCCTGGGCAAACTGCCAATCGCTGCGCGTGACGCCAACGTTTTTTATAAATAAATAAATGTGCCGTTTTTAAAATACATTTATGCAAACCGACACACCTGATGATGACCGTTTGAGTTATGGTCGAAACGTCGTGAGAATTTTTTATTGTTTTATATATATTTTGTTATTTTGTTGTTTCTCTTCAACGTGACTTTACCGAAAAAACTAAGAATATGAATTACTGCAGTCACGAAAGCTTTAAATCAAAATGTAGGTTATTGTTGTCAATACATTGATATGTTGTTTTTTATCTTAGGCCTTGTAGTTTTATGCCAAAATTCTTGTCACTCACCCTCTACAACTCAACGAGATTGTCACATTTCCAAATATATTATTTGTACTTTCCAATGTATTGATCAAATTATGACCAATAAAACTCCTCACCGGTGGCTGAAGACTTTCGATGGCTTAATGTAACATCAGCATATGGCGACATTTCAATCAAACTGCTTAGAGTTTTTTCAGGTAAAATAAACTCTCACATAGAGTGGCTGCTTCAGCTGACTCTGCTCTCCAGCTGTGACATCAATAACTGCGAAGCATTGGTCATTTATTTGTAATTTGGGTATAGATAATTTTAATGTCATTATCCACGTGCAGTTTATCCAATTTGCAGATTAACCTTGCACCTGAGATTTTGATATTAATAACTCATGGATTTTCCCTTGAGCCCAAATTAATAATATAAAAACAGTTATACATTCTCATTCTTGGAAATGTTTATGACAAATCATAAGTGTTTAAACCGAACAAATATTTGCTCCGGTTAATCTGAAATCCACGTGATTGCCGTTACAATAGAGTAGTTGCATACCTTTACAACAGTGGGCAGAGTTTGTTTGATTTTGATTGGCATGGCTCTGCTATCCACTTAGTGGGTCGTGTCTTCTGCGCGGGAGCAGGAAAGTGTTATTACTGAGCACGTGCATCGATCGATCGTTAGTATTCGTTCTAAATCGAAAGATTAACAATCAAAATCGTCAGTTGTGCTTCATTTTGAGTTATCCGATCAATTATTTTGTGAGTTTTCATTTATATGTAGAGACATCATTGAACGCTGTATGTAACTGCCGCTAGTTATGGCCTATAGTAACGGCCTTGGGTCAACAGGGAGCAGAAGTGAGGCCGTTGGGCCAAGGTTAACCCCAGTGTAGCTCAGGACCAGGGGTACAAACCCCCGAGAGAGGGGCTGGGAGATAAAATCACGCTCCAGGCCCCTCCGGACGGTTCCAGAAGGGAGGAGTGGCCAGGGCAGAGTAAGCCAGAAACCGGTATAAAAGCCGGTCCCCTGAACGGGACCGGCAGTCGTCGTTCACCTGAAGACTCAAGAGCCACCCTGGAGTTGCCACCTTGAAGACCCGAAGCGAACAGCCCAAAGGGCTGAACCCGAACCCCTGGCTAGGGTCGGGCAAAAACTTAACCAGTGAAGAAGCTAGAGCATAACCAGTGTAAGGCAGGCTAGCCGGAGGAAATACCTCCCTAAGAATCGGGTGGAAGGGGCCATACCCCTTTGTGTTATTGTTATGTTATAATAAACGTGCTGCTTCCAGAAGAGAGAAGTCTCTGCAAGTTTTATACCCACTACATATACATTTTAGTGGTTTTTGGAATCAAGATTCATAGAAAATGAATATATTTAGATTTTCCACGATTTTTAATTATCCGCGGCCATCCTCCCTGTCTACTATATTTATAAATACATTTAATAGATTTTCAAAGAAGACTATTGAAACGGATTTCTTAAAATAACAAAAAAACAATAAGAATAGGCTTTACCCTTTCTGGCAATAAAGCAGGAGATGTTAAAATGTTCAAACACCAAATAGATACCTATTGCACGGCATCAAGTCTGTATTAACCACACATACTTGTGGAAAACCATGCAAACCAACATGCTCTGATAATATATGCATTGTCTTTGAAACTGATTGGCCTACCCTAGAGGCAGCCTTCTTTATGGCCTTGGCTCACCAGTGCCAGACTAATTTTTTTTCAATAGCGCATACTTGTCAACCCATACGGTTTACCCGTAATTTTATACCGGGAAATTAAGTTTTCAGGTCTATACAGTGTACAGCTGTTTCAATATGAGCAAAATTTTTTTTTTGTTACTCCCTTGTGATGGGACATTTTCGGATGAACTTTGAGATTTATAAAGGCACGGGGTAACCAATACGGTCTGAATTGGTCTGTAATAAGGTAGGCACTGATAAGGGGTTGACAGATATGATAGCGTATCCCACTACTATTTCTGTCCTCGTCCTTAAAACCCTAACCATCCTCCCCCTTCCCGTTCTTAACCTCGCCCCTCCCTTTTCCTGTCATCACGCTTCTTTGCCATTACTTCCTCTCCCCAATACTCAAATCCCATCCCTTTTCCCCATCAACAAATACTAATGTACAATTTTGTATTCTTGTAAAGTGCTTTGACTCAAGCGTGATATAAAATCCTAAAAGAAACTGGCAAAAAGGTCCAAATAGATTACAATTATAATAGCCCAGAAATGTCCGTAACGGCGCGTGACGTCACTCCACATGCCGCACCCCCCCCCTCGTCATTAATAAATAATCATGAGCGGGTGGATTTTCACACTCACGCGGAAGAAGGTCGAGCGGGAAGATTTTTTTTTTCGCAAAGTACCTTAAAATATGAAGTTTCTTTACAGAAAGTGACGGCCAAAAAATAATATACGCTGCACAGTGCTACATCTGTACGTGACGTCACTGCAAAAGAGGCCCACTCCTCTCAATAATCGTGATCGGGTGGATTTTTACACTCCCGCAGGTCGAGCGGAAAGACATTTTTTAACGCAAATTCACTTTAAATTGTACGCTTCTTTAATGTAAGTTAATCAAATAAATAATTATACGCAGCAACACAGTGTATTTGGTGTCTTTATTTATTTCTTCAGCACTTGAAACAAAAGGTAAGTCAAATGTTTGGTTCTAAAACTCTTTGGTTCGTTATAACTACGTGACTTTACCGAAAGAACCAAATAGTATGGATTCCTGCAGTCACGAAAGCTTCAAATCAAGATTTTGCTTCTAAATTATGATAAAATAGATACATTTCTCTGCCATTTTCCAGACATTGTATCGATTTTTTATTTATTACAACCCCAGCGCATGAAAGCAGAACAAAAGAAAGTATCAGAGCAGTGATTTTGAACAAATTGAAGGCGAGTTAACGCAGTGCTCCAGTGACATGAAGTGAGGTGTTTTATGACACTTTTGTGCAAGAATCTGTCATTAATACAGTACAAGAGATTCACGCAAAATATCGTATACCGAGGTTTCATTTTTTAAGTTAAGAAAAATATATTTACGTGCAACAATTCCTAAAAAAATTACAATCACAAGAAAACGTAAATGTACATCTTTAATATTACCGATTCCGTCCTAGGACGGCCAAAAGGCTAATTTAAGGTCAGTCACATGAAGTGAGGTCTTTATGACAGTTTGTGCAAGCATCACTGCCATTAATACAGTACTACAGTTAAATGCAGTGTAGTGTTTGATGACATTCTTTCGTGCAAGATTCACTGCCATTAAATTTACACACGATACTATTATACTGTGCTCAATTTTATTGCAAAAGGCTAGTCTTTAATGTCTGAAAATGTGACAATCTGGTTGGGTGGTGGAGAATTAGTGACTAGAACTTTTGTATAACATTTCCACGGGGCCAAACTCAAATAAATACGGATCAAGTTTAAAGCAGTTAGACGTAGCTGTCGTAGCGGAAACCTGGATCGCCTCACATGCACCAAATGCAGTGAAGATGGACACCACACTCCATGTGTGCTCTCCGAGGTTCTTCAATTTGTGAAGTAGTTCCAGCCAGGTTATGTCCTATCACAACTCTGGCTGTCACCTGATGAGGCTGGTTGTAATTACCGGCGAAATGTCGTACTCTTAATTGTAAATGTAGGTTTACTCTCTAACACACCAGTGTGCTGAACAAGTAACGAATTGGCATGTTTTGTTTAGGTGACAAACCTTACTAATTGGCTGTGGGGTAGTGGCGGGTTTAACAAAATATACGTATGCAATCTCACCCAAAAGCCTCTTATGGGTGTTTTAACTTGCACTTTATTTATCTTCAACACGTACAACCTACAGCACATACCAACTTGTGGGAATTACTCTGTTTAGGCACCCTGAACTCTATCTTGCCAACTCCCCTTGTCCACTTCTCCACCCTTCAACTTTCTCTGTCTCTCCACCAATCCCCATCACCTCCCATAACTGTCCTCTGACTCCCCATGTATATTTCACTTTTCCCATCCATGATTTTTTCATATTAATCTCTCCAATCTGATTTGAAGTGTTTCACCACCGTACAATCAGACTGCTCAACACGTCATCTCTCCATGTGACGGGTCGCCAATGGGAATTGAGCACTCCCTATTTCAACTCGGTTCAATAGATTCAGTGAGTGTCGATTTGTTGTTTATTCGTTGAATATGGTTCATCTCTCAGCGTCCCTTCCAAATTGACAAGTGAGGTGATCGACTTTTGCCGATCACATAAGTTTGAATCTCTATCTCTGATTTTGCATTAGTAGATTTTAGATTTAAAGCTTTCGTGACTGCAAGGATCCATGCTCTTTGGTTCTATTCGGTAAAGTCACGTAGGTAAATAATAAAACAACAATAATCACGACGTTTCGGCCACAACACAAGCGGCCTTCATCAGGTGAAGGGACGAGCCTGTCTGGAGGACAGCGCTGGAGTGGAAGAAGCCACGCTTAGATCACGACCTTTAAGCTGTGTGACAAGAAAAACACCAAGCACCTTGACAAAGGAATTAGCATAAAATTTAGCATTGAAATAGCTAAGTTAAAGTATACACATCCGCAGAGGTGCCCCTTGACAAAGGAATTAACATCGAATTTAGCATTGAAATAGCTGAGTGATTAGCTAGTAACTGGTCACAGAAATAGCTATGTTAAAGTCAGAGTATATACATTCACCGAGGCACCTAGTACTCATCAAACAGGAGAATTTAGCGAAACACAACCACGCTCAGACATCGGACCTGTGTGCGAGCAAAGAGGTGGTGTTACGTGCCGGTGGACTTGCAGTTTGGCGAGGGGGGGGGGGAGAAAGGGGGGAGGGGTATTTTACCTATTGATGGTGTGAAAATGGGAATTTATAAGAGCTGCAAAAGTTTGGGGTACCACTACTCGAAAAATATACTGTACCATTGAAATTAGTTTAATGTTTAGTTCGATTTAGAACATCTTTCCAGTGGTTGCTTAATTTGAACCATCCTCTCGGTTATAATGAGCCATTTCAATGCTAAATTATATGCTAATTCCTTTGTCAAAGCCCGTGGTCTTCTTCTTCTTCTCACAGCTTAAATGTCGTGATCTAAGCGTGGCTTCTTCCACTCCAGCGCTGTCCTCCAGACAGGCTCGTCCCTTCACCTGATGAAGGCCGCTTGTGTTGTGGCCGAAACGTCGTGCTTATTGTTGTTTTATTATTTACCTACGTGACTTTACCGAATATAACCAAAGAGTATCAGTAGATTTATTGACTGGATATCTCAATTCGATCTACAGTTGTATTTCTGTACAATGGAGTTAGTAGTTTGTGTATGAGCGTGGGTGTCTGTGAGTGTGTATCTTTGTGCGAATCTGTGTGTATGCATGTCTATGTGAATTGTCTCTACACATCTCTGTAGGTCTCTATGTGAATGTCTCTATGCACCACTGTTTGTCTGGATGTGAGTTTGTGTGTCTCTGTGCACTTATTTGCATTTATACACATCCACTTTTTGTGTGACAGTTCCAGCAATTTTGTTGATCGTTTATTGTTGTCACGTGACCGCTATACAGTCTGTGGTGACCTAAACTGTCCAGGATTTTCAAACACATGCTTCCTTGTCTCCAGGTGACTGGGTTTGACAGTGTGGATGATGAGTCGAAGCCAGAGGAGGGCGTGTTCACTGTGAACAGTCCGCTGCCCGGACAGTGGACTCAGAGCAAGAACCCATCGTACTCATACTACCTGTACTACACCTATGCTAACATCACCGTGCTCAACCACCTGCGCCGGTGAGTTTCTCAGAGTTCTTGCGAGTCTCTGTTAGACTCTATGAGATTCACTGAGACTGTCTCAGACGCGAGTGTATGTCTCTGTGTAAATGTGTGTCGATGCATCTACGCTGGTTTCTGTGTTCGTCTGCGTATCTCTGTGAATCTCTCTGAGTGAGTGTCTCTGTGCATGTCTGTGAGTCACTCTGTCTTTAAGTGATTGTGTGTCTCTGTGAGTCAGTGGGTCTCTGTGGGTCTCTGTGAGCCTGTGAGTCGTCTGTGTGAGTCTCTAGATCTCTTTCTGAGTTTGGGTATCTGTGATTATGTCTCTGAGTGGGCTTGTATTTGAGCCTTTGGATCTTGGACTCATTGTTTGAGTGAGTCTCTGCATCTTTGAGTCTGTGTGAGTTTTTGGGTCTGTGTGAGTGTCTCTGAATGAAGCTGTGTCTCTGTGAATCTTGTGACTCTCTCTGAGTTTGTCTCTGAAGGAGTTTCTGTGCCTTAATGTGAGTCTGTCTTTGAAGTCATCACCACTCCCGATGCTGGCTGTACTTGCAAATAGTCCTATAATCCGACGCAAGAACGAATGTCGCATTGTGAGAATAAAAAAAAATAACCTAACAAACACAACACTTCCTCATTTACATAAGATCTTGACTATCCACCACCACCTATACGAAAAGTACGCTGATCGTTCTGGAGAACAGCAGAGGTTCTTCTGGGGTCGAACATCACTCCAGAGGAAAGGTGGCATCACCAATGGGCCAGTGTAGCTAACAAAAAATGAAGATCCCATTGCCAACCTCCTGGCTTCCCACAATCAATGGTTGATCATAAACCACATCAGGGCTTCTCATGGGTGATATGGATAATTTGTGATGGCATAAGCGGCATTTAATAGGACAATCCACATTGCAATTGTGGTGCACTTCAAATAGTGGACCACATTGTAAAGAGTTGCCTGTCATATTCACTTTCCGGCAGGACAGTAAAGTTAATTTAGATCAGATTTTCTTTACTGGATATCTTAATTCAATCTACCCTTGTTTTATATACAAACAGAGTAAGTGCATCTGTGGTTTGTGTCTGTGGTTTCTTGATGAGTCCGTGGGTCTGTTATGAGTGTGTATCTCTGTGTGAGTCTGTCTACTTCACCTGCTGTAGATCTTTGTGTGAAGTTTGTGGATATCAGGAATATGATTTAACACCTAACATTTGCAACCAATATTTAAGTACATTCATTATATTTCGATTTAAAGCTTTCGTGACTGCAAGGATTCATCTTCTTTGGTTCTTTCGGTAAAGTCACGTAGAATGAGAATAAAATAATACATTAATAAAATAAAATAACACGATAAAATTCTCACGATGTTTCGGCCACAACACAAGTGGCCTTCTTCAGGTGAAAGAAACAGACCTGTTGGGACGACAGAGCTTCAATGAACGTTGTTAAGATTCGTAGCGTATTTTAAGCTGGTTTAGAGAAGTGAGGCACCTTGACAAAGGCGTTTACATATCAAACAGGAGAATTTAGCATTGAAATAGCTGAGTGATTAGCTTGTGACTGGTCGTAGAAATAGCTATGTTAAAGTAAAAGCTTACACATCCACAGAGGCACCTAGTACAAATCAAACAGGATAATTTAGCATTGAAATAGCTGAGTGATTAGCTTGTGACTGGTCACAGAAATGGCTATGTTAAAGTCAAAGCCTACACATCCACAGAGGCACCTAGTACAAATCAAACAGGAGAATTTAGCATTGAAATAACTGAGTGATTAGCTTGTGACTGGTCATGGAAATAAGCTATGTTAAAGTCAAAGCCTACAAATCCACAGAGGCACCTAGTACAAATCAATCAGGAGAATTTAGCATTGAAATAGCTGAGTGATTAGCTTGTGACTGGTCACAGAAATGGCTATGTTAAAGTCAAAGCCTACACATCCACAGAGGCACCTAGTACAAATCAAACAGGAGAATTTCGCATTGAAATAACTGAGGGATTAGCTTGTGATTGGTCATAGAAATAGCTATGTTAAAGTCAAAGCCTACACATCCACAGAGGCACCTAGTACAAATCAAACAGGAGAATTTAGCATTGAAATAACTGATGGATTAGCTTGTGACTGGTCATAGAAATAGCTATGTTAAAGTCAAAGCCTACACATCCACAGAGGCACCTAGTACAAATCAAACAGGCGAATTTAGAATTGAAATAGCTGAGTGATTAGCTTGTGACTGGTCATAGAAATAGCTATGTTAAAGTCAAAGCCTACACATCTACAGAGGCACCTAGTACATGGACGCCAAAGGGGCTGCAACAACTCGACTATCATATAGTAAACCGATGTGAAAAAACCTAAGTCTAAATTACATCAATATAATAAATGTACTCAATATATTCTTCAATAAGCTGAGCTATTAACAGTAACTGGGTGTACACTACACTATATAATGAATACCATATAGTAAACCAATAAAAACTAAAATATAAACTACCTCAATGTTATCAATGGACTCTATATTCTCCAATCTGCTAAGCTACCAACAATAAATCATTATATATCACAATGCTATATATGGCGAAAAAATGGGTGGATTCTTACCCTCAACTTCAGCACACGGATAGCTACGAGCCCCGTTCAGACGGACGAGTTCATCCATGGTCGGAACGGAGGAGGGGGAGAGAGACAGCTGCGAGGCGCTGTTATACTCCATGTTGTAAACCATACCATTAACCGTGGTGTGAGAGGCATTAACAGTCAATGCCAGTGAAAGAGCTGCGGTCTGAAGGTCATCGTAAAATACAATTAATTAAGAACCGAAATGGTTTAAAACATCTTTCCAATGGTTACTAAGCCAGAATCCATCTTCTCGGTTGAAATTGTCTCTGAGTTTGTATATGTGAATGGCCTCATAAACCGGCTGGTTTGCAAAGAACCTCCGTCTTGGAGAAGTCAATGTCATGTGAGCCCACTGAATTATAACAGTGCTCTGCCACGGCAGAGGAGTTTCGTTCTACCGTGTTTCAAGTCTGCTTTATGTTCGCGGATGCGGTCCGAGATATTTCGTTTGGTTTCTCAATGTTGCAACTACCACAGAGGCACTTTAGTTGTAAAACGCCCGGGTACTGTATGTCTGGAACAGCATCTTTTACAGATGGAACCAGATCACGGATTTTATGTACTGTGTTGAATCGGACCTGGATCTTGTGTTTATTCAGGATTTTGGAGATCTTTTTAGTGACTCCTGCAATGTAGGGTAAGGTGATGGTTTTGAGTGGCTCCACAAGAGGATCCTTCTTCATGACTGGAGTGATGGCTTTGCGGATTGTGTAGTCGGAGTAACCATTAGCCCAGAGAGCCTGGTGTACGTGCTGGAGTTCATTGGTAATGTGTTCCTGGTCAGAAATGCATTGGGCTCTATGGTATAGAGTCTTGATGAGGGAGTTCTTCTGGGATGGATGGTGGTGGGAATCCGGTTTCAGATAAGCATCTTTATGGGTAGCTTTCCTGTAGACAAGAGTGGCTCATTGAACCATCATGTCTCTTTTTAATTAAGACATCCAAAAAGGGTAGTTTGCCATCTTTTTCGACCTCCATGGTAAATCTGATGGCTGGGTGTATGGAATTGTTGTGGTCGTGTAATTGGTCTAGAGCAGGCTGGCCATGTGGCCAGATGACAAAAGTGTCATCCACGTACCTCTTCCATAAGGTCGGGCGTAGAGTGGCATTCTGGATGGCGTCAGTTTCAAATTTTTCCATGAATACGTTGGCTACAACCGGAGATAGGGGGGAGCCCATTGGGGTGCCCTCAGTTTGTTTGTAGAAAGTTCCATTCCAGGTGAAGTATGTGTTTGGTTAAGCAATGTCTCACAGGGGGGGTACATCAGTATGCAGTCCTTGATGAACCAGGTCTTCAATGATAGCGATGGTGTCAGGTACCGAGACTTGGTGAACAAGGACACCACATCAAAACTGACAAGCAGGTCGTCTGGGGACAGGGAAATGCCTTTGATTGTTGATACCAGGTGAGTGGAATTTAGTACCGCAGAGGTGTTTTTTCCAGTGAAAGGTCGCAGTATATCAGCAAGAAATGTGCCAGTTTATAGGTGGGGGAGTTGATAGTAGAGACGATGGGACGAAGGGGTGTATCTTCTTTGTGTATCTTTGGAAGGCCATATAATCTTGGTGGTCTGGCAGCAGAGGGTTTCAACGAGAACTGTTTGGTCTGATCAATTAATGCTGTTGAATCAGAGATGATTTTGTTCGTTTTGATAACCAGGCTGTTGGTGGGATCTCTTTTTATTTTTGTTTTGCTGTCATCATTGAGTAGTTCTTGAATTTTGTTGTTATATTCTGTTTTGTCCATAATGACAGTGGCATTGCCCTTGTCGGCTGATAACAATATCATCTCTCTTTTTAATTGAGATAATTCAAAGCGTTTCATCTTTGCTGATGTTGCTAGGTGGCAACTTAGCGTTTTTGAGGGTTGCAGCGATTTCAGATCTTGCTACGTCTGCAGAGATGTGACTCAAGCCCTTGAGTGCAACGTCGACATGGGCAATGATATCATTAACCGGTATGTGTCTCGGTGTGACAGCAAAGTTTAGACCTTTAGCTAAAACGGATTTCAGACCATCAGAAATGGAACTGTTACTGCGATTAATTACGACTTTGTTAACGTCTATCTTTTCGGTGTGTGGATCCGATTTTTTGTTGGAGAGGTGATTGAATTTGGAAATCAAATTGTCCCTACATTTGGTCGACAGTGGCAGCCGAAGAGGTAGTCATATTGTCTACATGTTCCAATCCGATGAAGACATTGTTGCTGTCAATGTTAAGTGTGATTTGTAGAGTGTTTTGGTCTAACTGATCGAGTTTGGTGCGTGTAAGTCTGATTTTTTCCGAGATAAGAGCGAAGCTAGTTCTAGCTAGAATTCGTTTTGCATTGAGAGAAGTTGCAGCAGCAGAGGTTAGTGTAAATGCGGTTGGTATTACCTTAGAGTCGCGGCATCTCTTC